GTGTTGCAAATTCCATGGGCTGCATTCATCGCTCAACATCAGTTGAACCGCCAGATCGCTTGCCATGTTATATAAAAATCAGCCAAGTGGGAGTCCGATGGTACAGAAACCTTCTTGCGCGAAGAAGGTTTCTGTACCATTATCTATAAAAACGGCAAAAATCATGTTGTATGGGAGCCTTACTTAAATATTATTCCGTTTTTTAGTTGTTGTTATAGCGGCAACAGTAATACATAATCTGTGAAAATTTCAACAGTCTTACTATCACCATTCATGAGATACAGCCTGTTGACAGAGATACAGACAGACAGCGGAGTAATAGGGTTCCGTTTTATCTTTTGGGCACGGAACCCTAAAAAAGGACAGAACATGAATGTTGAACTAATTAAACGTGAGGAAGTATAATAACTTTATATGCTCCTCTGTGATATGTACTTTTTAAAATTTTGCTGTAGTATTTCTTTTGCGCTAACAATAGCGATGTGTTATATTGAATATGCATTAGATGATGCGTTATTTATAGTAAAATTGGCTCTAAGCCCGCGGCGAGTGACTCATTTGACTTTGTTTACGGTTTTGCACGTTTGTTGTATTTCTTATTTACGAATTACGGCGCGGTAATCGTAAGCGACGGGTGTTTCTGTTGCGAGCCTAATAATAACCGTAATTTACTATTGCTATCCGCTAGACTTGTAATGTTCGCGCACGTAAATTATAATCTCTGTCGTATTAAAATGCTTTTTTAATATACCGATTTTACGACGTTTACGACTTTGTGGGCTATTAAACAATGAAGAAAATGATCTTTTTAATTTGGTGTGAATTGATATTTGACAAAACTGTTGCTTCCATATATTTATTAAGTAGGTTTTTGGGCTATTAGGTTTTAAAGGTGTAAGTAGGGACCCTACCCTACTTATTTAAAAGCCGATTTTTTTACTGCTAGTGTTGCACATCGAAAATAATAAGACAATAAAATGTTAGTTTCATATATTCTTTATATTTTATTATGACTCCGTGGCGTAGTCGCCAAGGTATTGACTTCGGCGCCGGGGGTCGTGTGATCGATTCCCAAATGGGATAACTATTTGTGTGACCCACGGGTTGTTGTTCTGGATGTTGGTGTATGTGCGCGTGCAATTTTTGTTTGTAAAACGTTCTTACAACACAGGATAATATTATCCTACAGTAAGGACAATTTAAAAAATGAAATAAAAACACAGGTTTGGTTTATTTTAATAAAACAGAAATTTTGTAGTTAAGTACATACAACATAATAATTGCAGTAACTAATTCAGCGCTTGAGATATCGCCGGTGTGTTGACTGAATGACATTGATGAACTGTCGTTGGTCAGTCAGTCCGTCTTTTTATGTACCTAAGAGATAATAGTAAGTACATAGTTTTGAACTTCGATCCAACTAAAAGATTTGTTTGTTTATGATTTTTATTTTCAAAATTAAACATTTTTGTTCTTTGTGTGGCCCTTCCTTGTAGTAGTAAGTCCCAATGACCACTAAAATAACACATACATAAATTTCACGTGAACAAACACCCCGATTCGAAATGAAATTGAATTTGAAATCGCGCACGAAGGGTACCCCTACCCTTATTTCTATAACAAGGGGGAAAAAATCATGTCTATTGTATGGGAGCCCAACTTAAATAATTTTTCATTCTGTTTTAATTTTATTCTCTTTTATAGCGGCAATAAAAAAACGTCATCTGTGATAACGTCAACTCTCTAATTATCACAGTTCATGTTATACAGCCTGGTGTTAGATAGACAGACAGCGGAGTCTTAGTAATAAGGTCCCGTTTAACCCTTTGGGTACGGTACCCTAAAAATGACAGGTATGTAACGTGTCGCGTTTTACCACCAGTTAGGCTATTATAGTTAGGTTATAAGTTTCCTTTCAGAATGGTTATCAATTTTTGTTGAGCTATGTGGATGCAATTGCGCTGAAAACCTGTTAATAATGTGTTTAAATTCTTTTTTTTTAATGTGACAAGTTGCCAAGCGAGCTAGTGGTTCACCTGGCTGTTAAGTGAATACCACCGCCCATGGACATCTGCTACACCCGAGGGTTTGCAGATGCGTTGACAACCTTTTGAAAATTGGGCTCCGGCTGCCTCACTCACCAGACGAAACGCGGAAGTTTTATACTTCCACTATACGCCGGTCTTCCGTGACTTCCTCCCTATTCAAAGGAAATTAGCTATGATTTTTTTTTATTATAAACCAGAATAGCTCGCAGATGGCAGAATTTTATCCTACTTACTCGACACTTATCGTTATATTTTGGACAATTCGCACAATATCTTTATAAATTATAGCCTATGTGTTATACATATTTGTAAAGTTTCATTAACATCCATTCAGTGGTTTTTGCGTGAAAAAGTAACAAAGATACATCCATACATACAAACTTACACGTTTATAATATTAGCTAGGATAATCCAATACTGTCTGGCGGTCATTCCGAACCGTTTCGACCTAAAAACCTTCAAGAAAAGAGCATACTCTTTCCTAAAAGGCCGGCAACCTATTTGTAAGCCCTCGGGTGTTTCAGTTATCCATGGGCGGCGGTGATCACTTAACATCGGGTGAGCTTCCCGCTCGTTTGCCCCTTTTCTCCCATTAAAAAATAAAAGTACATCTGAAAATGATGTTGATATTTAGACGGTCGTGAATGATTTAAAAAGACCACGTAATTTCCAATCGACGTTACTACGAGATTGACCCAAAACGGAAACCGCAGCGTGCGGATTATCCGTGGCTTATGCGGGCTGTTGTCGGTTTGCGTACATTTCCTCGTTGCGACCGCGAGTTACGTAGAAAATGTCTAGCCGGCGAGTATAAGCGAATGCTTAAATTAGTTTGCGCTAACATAGACTTGTGGCTTGATACCATCGTATTTTTATTTTCGTTCGAGTTTCCTATTCTCACACATCGGAGTTTCACTACCTCCCTTCATTAATAACCTACGATTTAACGGTAATCTATTTTTTGCAATAAAAGTTTTTTGCTGAAAAAGAACTGCGCTTCCAACAGCTTGCCAGGCGTGGCAACTATGATCGAATGAAGTTTACAGGGCTCTATGTTAGCAGAGGACAATTACAGGAAATAATGATGATGACGTCATGTTTTGTTGTTCTTTACTGCATGGGATGTAATACTTGCAGTATAATTGCGGCGTCATGATAGTTTTTGAATTGTTTAATGTCGTAATAAGTGGTAAACGGCAAAAGAACGCAATGGTTTTTAAAACCACCTTTTACAACCTTTTGACATTTACCTATAATTCAAGTCAATTAGCTGTTATGAATTTATTTAATTAAACCGTTATCAATTGCATTTAATGTCTTTTTTCACAAACACAGATTACCGGCACACGGGAAAAGGCTTTTAGTTATTTTTATTTTGTTACGCAAAAGAAATATTACTCCTAAATTTACGTAGATATTTACAAATGTCGATGTTACGCTAGGTCTTTTCTTTTCGATATAATGCCAAAATCGATACCTGGTTGCCTCGTTAAGTGGTCGTACTTTTTGTTTGAAATACCTAACTTCTTTTATCAGCGTAGTTTTTCGTCCTTAATTGTTGAGTATTCAATCGTTAAGGAAATTTTTTATAGCCTTACAGTGTTGACTGGCGTCAAAAATTAAACTCATTGAATAATTTATACTGTATATACCTCGTGTCAATTCTGCTGGGTGTTAGTGCTGAGTCAGCTATTTTATCACTCGCCTGTTAATGAATGACGGAACATTTCCTATTTTAAAATTGGTATGGTTTTATCTTTGGCTCTAACGGGACTGAAGTAGTGTTGTGAACTACAGGTAGATTAGAAAACTGCTACATTCACGGTAATAAATAAATGGTCTATTGGAATTAGAAATGTGATAAGCAATGGTGGACTGATATCGCAGGTTTTAAACGCGATTTTCCCAATGGGTATATGTTTCTTTGACTTGTAGCGTCTATCTGTCCAAATTTTTTAAAGATAAATTGTCTAAAAACTTAAGCTAGTTGTATAGAGCGTATAGACGGCTTAGTGATTGTGTGATCTATTCTCTTCGTGATATGCTCGTAACAACAATTTGTCTATATGAAATTTATGCATGTAAAACGTCCTGACAACACAGGATAATGTTATCCTGCAGTAAGGGGGCAAAGTTCTCATTTTTCAAATGCAGAGACTAGAATAAAAAATAAATTTAATCATAAATTAAAATAGTTGTGTACCGCTCTACTTCTGCCTACTTGTGTATATTATATGTGCTGTTGTTGAACAAATGCGCAAGCACGGTGGGAAAGTTCGCTCACGGAAGACTGGCGTGAAGTGGAAGTATTTTGAGTTTCGTCCGGTGAGTGAGGTAGTCGGTACCCACTTTTAAAAAAGGTTCATAACGTATCTGCAACCCCCTCTGTACATTTGCATGGCAGTAATAACTTAACATCAAGTGAAACGCCTGCTCGTTTGGCAACTATTCACATTAAAAAGAAAACCTCCACATATTTAAAAAAGCCGCACTTTAAAACTTTTAAATCGAACGAAGCAAAGGTCATCGATGTATTAAGATTGGCATTTAGGAGAATGCATTTAGACGAAGGCCATGCTGTTCCATGCTGTTTCGCCTCATACAGAACATGTAGAGGGCAGCGGAAATAGAAACTATTTAATAATGCTAAATAGACTTCTATTTTTGCTAGATCCGATATTTTGTGTGTTTATTTGTTTGTAAAATACACGCCCGTTTTCTGAAACATTGATCATCGTAGAAATTGTCATTTGCGAAAGGAAGTTTTTTTTTAAGGGAAAAGGAGGCAAATACGTGCACCTGGTGAATAGCGATCACCGCCGCCTATGGACATTTGCAACATCGGCTGAGTCGCAATTGCGTTGGTTACTCTTCGAATAGATCATACGACATCATTCTGATTTTCGAACATAAATTCAAAGAGTTTAAGTTCAGCTGATTAGTTAATATCTACGATGATCGGTGTTTCAGAAACCAGGAGAACCGCACTTGAAAACGCTTGCTAGCTTCCGTCGTAAAACGGAGTAATATTTCATCAATGCTGAGAACTTCGTGCTGTTGCAAAGGAAATCCCACGTGCGGAGTTAGAAAAAGTCCAGTTTCTTGATTGTTTAGACGCATCGGGAAAGTAAGCCACTGGTACCGGTTAGCGGTTGAGCGCCGCTTTCGGCCAAGCGACTGGGCTGGACTGGTCTCGCCATTAGGTGGCGTCCGAAGCAAGATGTGTCCCTCGCCATGTCCCGTGCTTGTTTGCGAGTTTGGTGTGTGCGTGGGTTCCGTACTATCGCGTTCTTCGCCGATCACCAGAGGTCCTATCTAATAGAGTACGGCCGCTAACTCTAATTTTGCGTTTTATTATAATGTAGTAGCTGGGATTTAGGCATAAATATTTTAAGACACATTTTTACTTAACGTTTTCTAGTCCCAAATTAAACAACGCTGGTACTAGATAACTCATAAACGTACTTAAACATGCTTTTCTTTTGTAAACACATTACATATTGTACATACTCGTATTTATAAACACGCAAACACTGGAAAGGGACTATATGTTCATCACACAATATTTTATAGTTTTCCAGTAGTGGGAATCGAACCCACACCCTCTGGCGCAAGAGGCAGGCACTACCCTCTTCGCCAATGGGGTGAACATTCATTTGTAATTTGCACTGATTCTTCTGGTTTCTCGCCCAAACCCTTTATTAAGTAAACCAAGCGGCCGATGACCTCACGGCGCGAAGACGCACATAAACACCAAGCGCCAGATTTTTAGATTTTTAGGTCTTTTAAAAATTCACGGCCGCACTCTGATATTTAGTAGCATTAAATTCATTTGTTAACTAATCTTTTTTTTTTTTTTTTTTTGGAAATATTGATATCAACTTTTGTCGTATCCGCAATCAACGCCGTTTTTAATTGGTAGAGAATGTATAAACGAATGTATGTCGTGAAGGGTTGTACGTATAATCAAGAAGGTTTTATTCCGAGATCTACGCGGAGCCGCAAACATAAACCTATATGTACACAATTTAGTTTTATTGAAGACAGGAATGTACAGAAATATTAGTAAGGAAGTAAGGATTAAGTAAAGATTAACACGATGTTAATCCTTACTTCCTTACTAATATTATAAACGCGAAAGTTTGTATGTATGGATGGATGTTTGTTACACTTTCATGCAAATACTACTGAATGGATTTTAATGAAACTTTAAAGTAATATAGCTTATAAATCAGAATAAGACATGGGCTATAATTTATATACATATTTTATATATATCTGTCTGTCTAAATGTTACGCCTTCAGCCTATTCTACGCAGACATAGTCGCGGGCAGCAGCTAGTACATAAATATATGTGAACGTACAAATGGATATATATCATCACCAAAGAACTCGGAAAATAATACGTTCACCGTATTGTCTTCGGTATTTGTGGATGATGATATATAGCCATTTATCTACTGTACGTGTCTTACGCGATAGGAGAAATGGACTAGCCAACGCTCGCCTGTTATTGCGTGGGTGGGCGCCGGGTTAGACGACCTAGACACGCCAGACATAAACACTAAGCCAGCGTGTTTTGCATCGCAGTTGATCAGGGTTGGCCGACCCGCAGGGAACCGCTAAATGCTTCAGCAATAGCAGTAATAAATGCTTCGGCTAGGCTATAGTTTTAGCGAAACTACTTTACGTATGCTATCCGGTTGTATGACAGTTTTGTGCATTTATGATGTTTCGGATACAATGTTATAGGTCTGCGGCTGAGTGGTGTTGTTTTATATTCTTGCACTGAACAGACTTTGAAATTGATGGTTTAGTAACCCCATCTATTTTCAGAATAATTTCTATAAACTTGATCTGGTACCGAAACTAATTTTATATTTGCAACTGGACATTGTCCAATTGCTGTCTTCTGTTAATGCTGATAATGAAATACCGTCTCTTACCTTACCTTCTCCGGTTAAACTTTCAATCTCCTTCGTAGTTTTGATTTTTATTAGTTGTTCAGTACGTGGTTTCAATTTCAACCGCGAAGTGCGGAACGCGTAGATGTTGCTTTCATCGAACCCAAGCTGCCAGACTATTAGTGACATCTCGCGGCGAGAGTCTGGATGTTGCTGACGAGAATAAAGATCTAACTGACATCTTTAAGGCTGAGGTCAGGTTCACCCTAGAGTTGGTGATTGTGATGATTATCGCCGCTGCTGGAGGTCAAAGGCGCATTCCTCATTGATAAGAATACGAGCATTTGGTTGCACAACTTGCAGATTTTAAAGTAGATATATAACTAAAAAGTCGTACTCACCCGACTCTAGTGCTAACTTTTTAAAGTCCCTCCAATTTCGCTCAATATACGAAAATTTAATAGACTATAGCCATAATAGCTTAGTGTCCGGGCGCTCGCCTTTAATTCAATTATACTCGAGCAACCTGAGTTCGATCTCTTTGTGCAGATGACCAATGAAATTTTAAATGCTGAATTATCACGTGCTCAGCGGTGAAGGAAAACGTGAAAATAAAAAAAAATATTTCGAAGATATTTGGAATCCGCCAATACGCAGTGTGGCAGCGTGGTGGACTATGCCCTGATACCCTCTGTACAGAGAAGGTCTTTGCTCAGCAGTGGGGTATGTATGTGGTCCAAAGTCGATGACGACAGGTGTCTGCAAATAGAACTGACGGACTCAGCATCGCGTGCGCAGTGCTCGTAAACCGATAGAGACACTGTAGCACTGACCTCACGGTTAGATTACGTCATAGGTGACTCACCGCGTTCGCTTCAATAATGATAGCCTTTTTATTGTTACCACAAGTACATTCAGCGGCGTATGTAATGTTATAAATGTTTCTACTAGTCTCCAAAAGTTGTTATTTCAAAGAGCCCTCGGAGAGCGGCTCACCTGGTTGCTTACGATATCGGACATGTTTTTGTTGTTGATACCAACCTATTGGATGAATGATAAATATAAATAATAAATTAATATTTATTATTTATTGGACCCTGGATTGGATCTGATCGATTGGAACATGCATCCGATACCTTTGTTTCAACATGGGTGTTTTCCATGCAGGTATGGACATATATGGACCAATAGAATTTTTTTTGAAGATACGCCAACCCCGCCAATCCGCGGGTTGGGTCTCGTGGTGGACTACGCCGTAATACCCTCGGTATTAAAAAGGCCTTTGCCAGGCAGTGGTATATTTAGGTTGTTACGTTATTATGTGAACAATCTGTCCTTAAGTCTACGTTTTCTCTTATACAAATTATACACAGACAGCAAAATACCGTAAGTTCATTTTGCGTAGATCGGAATAATCTTGTAAATAATGTTCTTTATCCAGTCCTTATCCCGTCTAGGTCGGCTCGGCACAGCATGTGTATGTAATACCATTAACAGCGACATCTTATGGTATTTGCTAGATTTTATACCGCCGGCCGCCTGCCAAACGTCTACCCTCCTTGTAACATATACTTATCCCGAGTGGGAATCGAACCCACGGCTCCGGCGGAAAAACCGATAGCTTTGAAATCCGGATTAACTGTAATATTTGGACGTAAAACAAATGTTGGGCTGTACCGTCATCACAAACGCTATAGTGATTAGTGATATTTTGAATTTAATTATAAAACGAAACGCGATAACACTCTTAAAATTGTTTTTTATCAAACAGAGCTTTATTATTCACACGTAAATTTGAACACCCTGTAATATTTGGGAGTAAATGAGTTGTTTCGATTATTCAGAGCTCCGCTGATGTTCTTAATTTGGCATGATTCAGTCGGGCGAACGGCGGATAAAAGACCGCAGAGTTATATAGGTTAAGAGGCTGCAGCTGGGGATGTTTTTAATTTATCATTTACCGGATGGCGTTTCAACAGTTTTTTGTAGAGAGCATCGGTATTGCATTTTTGACTATTGATGGTGTAAAATAAAGTAAAGTATCAGCCTATACATGTCCCACTGCTGGGCAAAGGCCTCATCTGTACAGAGGGCATCAGACTTCACATATCTTCGTAATATTTTTTTTTTGTTATTATTTCGAAAATATGCAGGTTTCCTCACGATGTTTTCCTTCACCGCTGAGCACGTGATTTCATTCAGCACTTAAAATTGACAATTTCATTGGTGCTGGCACCGGGGATCGAACTCAGGTTGCTCGAGTATATTGTATTAAAGGCGAGCGCCCGGAGACTGAGCTATCACGGCTCATTGATGGTGACAGTACGATTATGTGCGTGATAGTACTTATTAAACTATGTTGTCTGCTTAAATATTATAATTATACTTGGCAACTGGAATGCACCTGTGGCGCAGTTGCCAAGGTATTGGCTTCGGCGTCAGGGGTCGATTCCCACACGGGACAACTGTGGGTCGCCCACAGAGAGTTGTTTCGCATCTGGGTGTTCGTCCGCGTGAAATTTATGTTTGTAAAACGTCATTACAACACGGGATAATATTATCGTAAAGTAATGGCAATGTTTTATAAAAAAGAGAAAAAAATATTATAAAAGCGATTATTTTATTTCGATGAGCTGCTGTTAGTTACTTTTACATTAATGGATATATAACAGATTTAATTTTTTTAAAAGATCATTTTTGGGCATATAATTACGTTCAAAGTTGCAAATTAAATGTTTCAGATATGTATGAAAATAGTCAACGTATAGCATTAGAAAATAAACTGGCGCTACAGAAACTAGCACGGAAGCCGCGTTAGTGACCTTTAACCGTGATTATGAAATAATGAATAAATAATGAAAGTTTAAAAAGTTTTGAGCGGGATATCCTCTTCCGAGATATGTTTACGAATTAACATTTAAAATAATCCCGACGTATCTGGGGCGCCTTTGAACACGTGCCTCGACTTACTTCCTAAACGTAATGCTTATCAAATTTGACCCTTAATTTGCCTCACCGTGAATCCAATGTTGCACTGCAACTTAATTTTGCGTTGCAAATGATTCATTACTTAAAAAGCCGCTTGAACTTTGCTTGTGCGAATTTATTCTCCTGACTGCTTAAATGAAGCAATTACACGTTGACAATGATGTCCATTTTTGATCACTCCCTTTAGTTTCCCCCGTGCTCCTTTCCCGTCAGAGATGGCTCTCATAAAAACATTGTAAATATCACATTTGATATGTCTATTGGAAAAACGATTGAGCCGTGATAGCTCAGTGTCCGGGCGCTCGCCTTTAATTCAATATATACTCGAGCAACCTGAGTTCGATCCCCGGTGCCGGCACCAATGAAGTTTTTAACTTTAAGTGCTGAATTATAACGTGCTCCGCGGTGAAGGAAAACATCGTGAGGAAACCTGCATATTTTCGAAATAATAACAAAAAAATGTATTTCCAAGATATGTGAAGTCCGCCAATCCGCAGTGGGGCCGCGTGGTGGACTATGCCGTGATACCCTCTGTATAGAAGAGGCCTTTGCCCAGCAGTGGGACATGTATAGGCTGTTACTTTACTTTGAAAAAACAAGGTTAATATTTTTTATTAAGGTAGTATTATTTATGTAAATATATTTCGTAACTTAGCTGGATGCAGGCCGTTTCTGATCGATCATAGTAGAGAAAACTCTAGAGGCGGCCTATGTTCAGCAGTGAACGCTTAAAGGCTGAAATGATATTGATGTCTGTCTCACTTACGCGCATGGAAGCGACGGCTCGACGTCGTGAAGCAGGATATGAGAGTCAATAGACTGACTCCTGAGGAAGATGAAGATCGGGCACAGTGGAGGAGTTTTAGTAGAAAGGCAGACCCTGGCCAATAGCTGGGATTATTGACAGGTAGAAAGAGAAGAAGAGACTGTCACGCTTACACATATTTAACTTTAGAAACGACGTTTTACTATAACGATAAACAACTGATAACGAACATAAACATATCCTTCGGTGTTACTACTACGAGAAGTGTTGACACGTTACTGATTCATAGATGACGCGACCCGAGCACAATCAGCCACTGAGCCTGACTCAGAACTCGTTAAGATAACGCTCAGTTTGCGATAACTTCACATGGAAACTGCCCGTCGCCTCTTACAGCTTTAGGTAGTTTTAATTCGTCGATGAAATCACGTCAGACGCGCCAAACGCATATAGGGCTCCGATGTTGGCCGTGGCTGATGAGGTCATAGCTAAATATTGTCTATCAGAGTCTATATTGATTTCGTCTGAAATATATGTAATGCTGCATCTAGCATAGCGTCTACAAAAAGGAAATTATTGCATTTATACCTCATATCTAAAAGCGCTTACGTCTTTTCACCCAGAGGATACAGAGAAACTAATAATAAATTCATCGAGATTATTGTCTATAAAAGTTGTAAAAGATTTTCCGAAGGATAATTATTTATCCCAAAAACAGATTTGATGAACTTTGGGAATGATATTGTTAATACGCTGTATTGAGCTAATGATCGTAATAACTCATTTCAATAGATAGGAAGGGGGTTCTCTTCCTCTCTATTCTGTGCTATGATGTACCTAATTCGCAAGCGAATCTGGTCCATCGTATCATCTTCAGTTATTCCCACTGCTGCATCATGTTTCTCCCTTTTCCCTTCACTATACTCTAACATTGTATGACCATTGCTTGGAATGGTCCGCCCGCGATCTACAACTAGGGTTCTTTGAAACTGCGTAGGACTCTTTATATCCACTAGAAATTACAATTTCACTACGGAAAGAACCCGAAGCCCGCCTTGAATAATTCAGCGCCGTTCGGTTCATTAATGACAAACGCGTCGGCTTTGATTTCTAGCGTTAAGGAGGGCCCTCTTGTTAGTTCGCGTATAGACTACACCGGTTTTTGTCGATGAGCGGCGCCGCGATTGATCCCGGGGTCGACGACCTGTTAACTGGGGTTGACGTTTTATTTATTTATTGTAAGTTAGGTATAAAAAATGGCGGCCCTATTTGATTTTTTAGGAGCCAGGAAATCGGCAAGACGTCTATTCCGCCAACCCGGCATTTTGTTTCCAGATTGCGAGAAGTTTTCAAGCGAGCGGACGTTTCACCTAATGATAAGTGATGACCGCCGCCCATGGACATCTGCAACATCTGAGGGCTTGCAGATGCGTTG